GATTTAATTTGTGGGGAACAGGGAGAGTTAAACACAAATAAGGAGACTAGAATCGAACGGCATGCTCTTGAAGCTTTGAGAAACAACACGCACTCTCATCTCAGTCCACTTATGTGCAGGACAGTCAGCATTCTGCCTTGAACGTCCCAACCTGGGGATTGTGGCAGCTTCAAAATCTCCAACGCTGAAGAATTTCTCTTAACTTTTTTGTTCTTCTTCTTTTCTTGTGAAGCTAGGCTTGTCGGAGACACTCTTCATCTCTACTACCTTGGTCCTTCCGACCCCAACCACTTGTCCCAACCTCTGCCATTACGTGTTTTGTGTCTTTCCCTGTCCTGTTTCTGGCAACTGCAGTCCTTGGCATTCTGTGTTCCTTCCCTTCCTTGCTGAATATTTGTCTTCCTCGGAGCCTGGCCTTGGCCCTGTGAATAACACTTCCTTCTTCAGATAGGCAAGTGAACAAGGCTGTAACCAGGTTTGTCCAATGCAGAATCAGGATTTTGTCTTTAGGACTGAGAAACCCATTTAAGGGAAACATTAGCATGCATAAAAACAGAAAGCTCAGGATCAAGGAAGGAAAAAGAACAATGGTTTTCAGGGACTGGGAAAGTGATGTGATGTGTGCATTCCTTCAACAAGGGTGCAAGTAGGGCGCTTTCCTGGTCTACCAGCTGGCTCACACGTTTTCTTTGCACACCGCTGTAGACAGATGAGGAGAAAGGCAGAAGGCAGGCCTGAAGGTTTATGTTCTAGAAGAGGGTCATAAGGTTAAACAACTCAACAGAAAATTAATTATTCAGGTGGGACACCCTTCAATTCTTACAGAATTTTATACTTTCAATTTCTAATGTTTACTCTCTCTCCAAAATCCTGCCTTAATATTTCTAAGAATAAAGAAATGCTAAGATACATTTTTTATTTTTTAGTAATTTAACTATCCAAACCCTTTTCAATATTCAGACCAACTCAGAATTGTACCTTAGAGTTTCTAGTTCTCAGAGAAAAGCTGCAGTTGTGTTCTAAAGACTCTCTGACTTCTTAGCTATGAATGAGCCCAGGACTCACATTACGTTTTCCACCTGATTTTCAGAGGTAGAAGTAGCTTTTATTTCACAGTGAACAAAGCCCTTGCTTTTAGCACACAGAGAACAAGTCCTTGGATCTGTTTATTTATCCACTAGCTGTGAGCTTGAGTGATGTTTCTGAAACCTCTTTCCTGGGGTGTCAGCAGAGTGGTTTTGTGTACAGTGGTAAAATAACACATTAGCTCTGAGCCAGTGGAGCACCATTGATCACATCTGCTTGGATGATGGTTTTGAGATAGATTTTGAAGCTCGGGCTGGGGCTTACCAGAAAAGAAAATTATGACTGATGAGTGAAATATTCTATGGGAAAGGAAGGGCAAACTTGTGCAGCATGTGCCAGAAATTTTCCAGTCCTTACACAGTGAATCCCTAGGCATGGACGGGACTTGTGGTGTAACTGAATCTTTACAGAAAAACACATTTAAAAAATTACATGAACTCCAAAAGAGGTGACCCATTCCTGGTACTGAGCTTTTGGTGAACTTGTGGCTATATGGGCCATGGGCTCTTGGGAGAACCTATACTATTAATCTGCTAAATGGACACAGTATTAAACTGATGCCTAATAACTTATTATTATACCCATAGGTTACTGCATCTCTCAATCCTCATCACAGAAGCTTGTTTGGCAGTAGACAGACATGAACACAGAGACCCACAACTTTGCAGAAGATGACAGACTTTTCAGTGCTCAGCCTTAGTGTAACACCTGTATCACACCCTCTCCTTCAAAGGATCATTGCAGAAGAAGGTGTCACAAGTTTTTAAGAGCCAGAGGCAGTGGGTGACTACAAGAAAACAGTGCTTTCTGTACACAAGAGGGCAGGTGCACATGTGTACTCACAGAGGTTGAGACAGCATGTAGAAAGACCTGTTGAAGCTCCAGTCAGACAAAATCCCAGCATGGAGATTTTGGGTAGGCAAGCTGCCCCACCCCTAGCTGAGGAGCTACTGGCAAGCCATAGCTTCTGGGAGAGGGAGAGTCAGCTTTCTTTAAAGTTTGGTTCTGGGTAGGCTGAACATGCGCTAGTGGATGGCCACACACCCAAGAGTATATGGGTAACATAAATTTGATTTGCTGGGAGAGAGAGAGGGAGAGGAGGGAGGGAGGGAGGGGGGGAGAGAGAGAGGAGAGACTCTCTCTGGGGTGGGACTGAGAGCTGAGGGAGAGAATGTGAATATGATCAAAATACATTGCATAAAATTCTCAAACAACTAGTAAAAATGAGAAGAAAAATAAAATCATTATTATTCTAAATTTAGGAGATTAGTATGTGTTCACAGTGGATTCCTGTATTCATGTTACACACACACATTTAAAGCAAATTTGTGCATTTTGCTCTTCCCTGAGGTATGCTTTTAAAATGTATTTATGAGTGTTTTCAATTTAAAATCATTAGTACACACTGCAGGTGTGTGTGTGTGTGTGTGTGTGTGTGTGTGTGTGTGTGTGTGTGTGTGCGTGTATACAGACTGAGTTATAAGGTAAGATATTCTTTGTGGGTCATGGCAAACAGAGTTTGAAAGTCACCATGCAGACCATTATCCCTTTATAATTGCAGAGCCTTGGGGAGGGAAGAATCATTTCTCCATCTTCACTGACTTGGCCATCAGTCTCAATCACATCAAAGCCATGAGCTACTTTATTTCAGCTGTTCAAGTAGAGCTCTGGGAGGCATGAATGTGAACAGCGAGCAAGACCAGCTCCACACAGGGAGGGGTGACTGAGGGCACTTTCCACACAGAGAAGCATGAAGCCAAAGTGTAGCATTACAGCTTCAAGGGCACCAGGCTACATCCACCTCCCCCTCCTTCTCTGTGACTAAAAGTCCTACTTCCTGATCTCAGTGAAAATCGCTGTCTCTGCTCAAGAAATTAAGGCTAAAATTGTATTCCTGTGGGACTCATATCTGGTTCCACCCTACAACACACACACCACACATGATGTCTACATTTCATAGTCCCTTGTGGCTCCATCAGTCGCTAGACCAATGAAAGCTAAAAGCTTCATTTATGGGAGGAAGGAACTGATCTAAATCAAGAGGGTCAAGGGGCACAGGGGACTTTCTTCCCTAGCATGTCCAAGTTTCATTTCCCTTTTATGGATACAAGCTGGAGGTCTGGATGTGACCTGAATAGGGCTAAGGGGGACTTCCTTGGAGGGTGATCGTTCACTGATGCACCTGAGTTTTCACCATTTCGGGGCTCTTGTTGCTGCTATAAAACTAATCCTAGGTGGATATTTGCTTGGATAATAGAATGGGATAGTACATAAAGAAAGAGTAAGAGACCTCAGAGCACATGTCCCTGAATAGGACACCTATATCAAACCTCTGCCACCCAGTGCTCAGGGACCATTGTGGAAGAGGGGGTGGAAAGATTTTTAAGAGCTTGAGGTGATGGATGACCACAAGGAAACAGTTTTCCAGGTAGCTGGGAAGCTACTTGTATGAATTCATAGCAATGGGGATAGCAGGAATAAATCCTATGTAAGCTCAAGTCAGACAAAATCCCAGCCTAAAAGTAAGAAAGTGGGTGAGAAGCCCCAACCTTAGCTGAGGAACTACTGACCACCAATGATGCTAGGAGAGGTAGAGTCGGCTTCCTTTACGTGTGTGATGCTAGGCCAGGCTCCAGTGGAGGACCCATACTGAAGGATATTTGGGGACACAAATTTGCTAGATAGACTTTACTATATATGGAAGACTACATGAACTCTGGCAAGAGGGCTCTAAGAGGGGTGCAGATAGGGGAGGGGGTCTAAATATGATCAAAATATTATATGAAATTCGTAAACATTTAATAAAAAATTATAAAGTGAATAGAAGAGAAACTACCCACATGGAGTTGCAAGGAATGGGAAGAGGGCAAGTAAAACACCAGTACCTAATTCTTCAGTTGCCCAGGAAGAATTGGAAATGGAGGCCTGAGCTGGGTGGGCACACAGCATGTGTGCATGCACACACACACACACACACACACACACACACACACACACAAACTCCTAATATTTGATAGTAAACATTTTCAATGATGGGCACAGTCTTTTGTGTGTAAGAATTACGCTTTTAGCTGTGAATGTATCAGCAGTCTTCAGAAATTGCAAGCTGGAAGCACGGCTCAGTCTCTCCTCAAGTGAAGGAGAGAGGACAAAGATGCTGAGCACCGGGTTTCGCCTGGCGGTATCTCCCTTCTTCTAACTTCCTCATAGCGTACACTGTCTGTGGCAGCAGATGGAGGACTTGGGTGGGTTTTCCTGCTGGGGGTTCTGCGTGAAATGAGTGCACAGGGCAAAGGCTCAGCTGTGCGCTCCCCGGCATCCTAGCACTGGTCTTTGCTCTGAACAGAAGGGATGGACGGGAGCTCTGGGCTCTGTGTTTGTGCTAAGATATGGAAGGTTAGTCTAGAAGGGCCCTTCATTACAGCACCCACGTCATCCCCAGCTCCGATGCCAACTTTCCTACTCCCCACAGGTCCTTCTCCACTGTTTCTCTGTTTTCCCCACTACAGCAGTTATTTAATCTCTGTTGGCTCCTTTTCTCCAGCAACTAAATACCAGGATGCAAGTTATGTCATGTTTGATCTTTCTAACTGTGCAAGGTAAAGAGGTAAAACATATACAATCCTTATTTATTGAGATAGAACAAGAGAAGTCTGGAAGGATGAAGTGCAGATCCCTGGTCCAGGTGATCTACAGAGTAGCTTCCATGGGGAGGACAGGATGTACCAATACTCATGGATTGCTTCTGAAATTAGATGGGGATTTTAGTTCATAATTGTAATTACAAATGATGTATCTATTTATAACACATTGAGTAAATGCTTCTAATTCAGAAACACTGATTATGAGAAATTGGTCATAATGAAATGCAAGTGGTAAAATGGACCTACCGTCTCAGAAATCCACCACAGACATGCACTTGGATAACCATTTTTATTTGACATCCAGACTCAATATCATATATATTTGCATAAAATACTTAAAAATGACTCTAAGGATTATCGGTTCAGAAATCCTTGCTGGTTCCGCTGATCCTTTTCTTTCTCTATTTACAATGCAAGCGTCACACTGCTGCAGCACCACAGAGATGGTCATTCTCCACAGAGTGGCACAACATAAGTCCGTGTGGAGCAGGTTCTCCTTAACTCATGGCTTGTTTGGCAAGACTGAGGTTTAACAAATGGGATGGGAGAGGGTGGAAGAAGATAGGCAGAGGATCTCATAAAAGAAACTGAATACTGTCTGCCGCACCAGGGTGCTTATTTATGCTGCCTAAGTTGGTAACTGTTATCTGCCTTACGATTACGATCCGTGGTTCTTTCCCACACTCAATCAGTGCAACCCTTTTTATTGTACAGCTAAGGGAGGGGTTCAGGACCCAGGGAAGTGGTGGACTAGGGTGAGAAGCAGGCTTCAAGCACGGCCTTTCCAGTCCATGACGCTCTTTGTCTCGGTAGCCACACTCATTTTCCTGTGCTGTCAATGAACTCGTAGTCCAAGATTAAGATTCCTCTGGACAAAACTTTTGGCTCTAAGTCAGGGCTTTGATGAGGATCTCTGTCTTTCTCAGAGTACTTTCTTTCATGTTGGGGGTTGGGTAATATCTGGGTAGCAAATCATGAATCCTTTATCTTTAATGCACAGCCTACAAAAGTGCCTATTTTCAAATCTAACAATTAGACCAATGATTCTTGATTTATCTTTCAAAGATGGTATGGAAGTGCTAAGGCCAGAGTGATCTGGTGCCGTTCTAGCTTAGCACACTGGAGGATAATATGTGTTATACAGAGGAATCCAATGATAGAAGACACAGAGGTGGGCCCTTGTTACCAGGCAGTGCTAGCCTCCAAGGCAGTCTCGACAAGAGATTTTGCTGCTTCAAAAGTAAAAAATAGCTTTGAAGATAAATGGAATGATTAATCAAAGAAAAATAATCAGAACTGATTTTTATAATGAAATGATCCAAATTAACTCTCCAATTGAGTATAATGGAGCTCATTTACTTTCATTGAGCATAATTTTCCTCACTAGACAATTAACATATCATTTGTAGTATGACTTGGAACATCTAAATACTAACATCTTTATCTTTCTGTGATGCTGAAAACTAAACCCAAGGCCTTGCATATGTGGGGCAAGATCTCCGCTGCAGAGCTTCACATCAACCCCTAACATTTTGAAAACATAGGACTTCCTGTGGAGAAGTTTGGGTTTCTGCCCACCCAGGTGAACTGTTCATGTTGAGCACTAAACCTCTGGCAGATAAGGTAAGACAAAGGCACATGATGGGTGTCAGGTTACAGGTTAGCTTCTGACGGCCATGGTCCAGAGGAGCGGATGGTCAGTTTCCACAGTCACAGTCCCAGACCCGTCGTAGGTATTAGAAGTGCTGACTAGCGTTCCAAAGCCAAGCACACCATTTGCTGTAGAACAACAACAACAAAAATTGAAAAGGATTAGTGAGAAGAACCTTCCTCCAGTGCGGACCAACGCTGTCGCCAGCGATGAAAGCACAGGTGAGCACACTCGGAAGGGAGAACTGCAAAAGCAGAAAGGATGGGGCTCAGAGTGGCGTTCACTTTTAATTGTTTTTAAATTGAGTTTATTTAAAACTCTTTTTTGTATATTTTTAATGAATTTTTATGTATTTCTCACAAAACATTGTAATCATCTTTGTACCCCCTCCCACATCCACACTCTCCCATAGCACCCCCACCACATTTCATGCATTCTGTCACTTATATTGAGACCCATCGAATCAAATTACTGTACCCAGACGTCCCTCAGCACAAGTTCATCCACTGAGGTCTAGTCAGCCTATCTAGAGTCACTCCCTTAAAGAAGATCAGCTCTCCCTTATGCAGAAGTAATCGGTTGACAATAGTTCAGCTAAGATTGGGGCCTGCTGCCCATTTCCCCAGTGCCATGCTGGGTTTTGTCTGCTGAGCTTGCATGGGTCTTGTGCATGCTGATGCCATTGCTATAGGTTCATATGAGCAAGGGCCCAGGGGCTTGTAAGACTCTTTCCATATAGTCATATACCTCCTACCCTGGCTCTTACAGTCTTTCTGCCCCCTCTTCTGCAATGGTCCCTAAGCCTTTGGTGGGTGGAGTTTAATATAAGAGTCCTGTCCAAGGGTCCACAGTCTGAAGACTCTTACTCTCTGTGCTTTGCCCTCCGTTGCATGAAGCTTTGTTGATGAAAGTTGAGAGGTGCATTAGTGTTCTCTCTACCCCTTCCTTGTTACATTACGCTCTGTGAGCCTTAGGTGCAGACATTCCATGGTAGACATGTCACTTAGGGTTGGTCATTTCACAGATACTTATTTTCTTATGTGACCAGTTGTGAGGTGGAGGGTTTAAGAATGAAGTTTGCACAACTCTCTATACTGTTCTTATTGGAACTGGCTATTGGATCATCTGCTATTTGGGGCCATATATCATTCTTGACAGTGAATTTCATTAGATTTTTTTCTTCTATTTTTCCTTTACTAATTCTAAGCTCAAAACCCATATCTGTAATGTGCCATTTACTTCCTTGCTTGCCTAAGTTTTATTTTTTTTCTTGATGATACAGAAATAACATTTCATAAAATCATTAAACGCTATAAGGCACAATATAAGTGATAGGGGACACAGAACTAATTACCTAAAAAAGCATGGAGTTTTGGTCATTATTTTTGTCTCATAAAGAAAAGCCACAGTGAGCATGGCTTATGTTCTGGAGAGTTAACAGGAACTCAAAGGTCAAAGCAGACTTTCAAATGTGCGACTCAACTGTGAGACAATGGCAAGAAATGAGATCATTCTTCAAGCTACGGAAGTGTCAGAGAGAAGGCCTACAGACTGAGCTACGTAATTACAGTCTGTATGTCTGTAAATCTCACAGGCATACACATGTACATTTGTGTTTTAATTCCTAACAAGTTAGCATCTTGGCACAGGTCAGTGCCTTCCTTCTTTGCTCGGTTGGAACACTTCATTTCCCCGATGTGACTCCAAACCGTTGAGAGTCCTGTGGACATCCTTTGGTTAAAGTTTGAAGAGAAATATAAGCCAATGTGAAACCCAAAGTGCCTATCTGAAGCAGCCCTTTTCCTTCCAGATCTAACTATGATGCGACATGCCTACATGGGGGAGAGAGTCCCCTTACAGGCTCCCTTCCCACTAGAGGGAGCCTGCTGACTTTCTGAAGACAGCGAAAAGGCAATTTAAAGCTCCAGTGAAGGCATTTCAGAAGACACATAATCAGGATCAGCATGGCACATGATTTTTTAAAACGAAAATTCAGGTTCTTTACTTTTTGTAGTTTTCTTTACTCACTCAAACACAAATTACAAGGTAGAGCTATGTAGGAATACAGAGTGAACTTCCAGTGAACTTTATTGCAGCGTGGTGAAGTGTAAGTGTAAGAAGCTCTTAGTGGTGACTTTGTGAGAGCAGGTTCAGACACCATTTATGTGATGTTCGTAGTGGGGGTTGGGCGGTGGTCATGCTGGGATTCACAGCAGTTGACTTGTCCACTCTGGGTGACAGATGACTTCCCTCTCTGAACGCAGTTTTGCTTCATAAATGAGTGCTCCCCATCCCAGGACCAACAACTTTGTGTTGGGTGCAGTTTTAATATTTTATATCATTTAATTAATCACAACAGAGGGAGCTTTAACCCTTCTAACCTCAAAGAGGAAACGCCCTGGCGAACAGCCATGTAACACACAACCACCTGAAATCGACCCAGTGTGTTTTAAGATTCTGAAAATGAATAAGGTGAAGATTCTAATTTTACCTGTGTTCAAAGGGTAACGGCATAAAACCATTACTCTAGCTGAGCATTGCATATTAATTCCTTTTGCTGTTCTGAAAGCAAAGTAAGAATTCTAGGCATTCTGGGATAGACACTGATATTTTAACTGATGGATCCTAATTAGCTTTCAAATAAGAAAACTACTGTCTGTATTAGGGCATAAAGAGATGCATTCTTTTCCAGAAAACATTTCAGTTGAGCAAGGCAATTATTTACAAGTTATGTTTTATTCTAAAATATGTAGTGTTCCACCAAGAGTAGTTACTCTAAAGTTACAACCAATTAATGACAAGTGTATTTGATCATCTCCAGCTCTGCAGAAAGTAAAGTAGAAGATGAAGATGAATAAGCTGAAACACAAAAGAACGAATTTAAATTTCCTCTACCACAGGCCCCGGTGGGGAAGCGGCTACTGCTGTACTAAGTGGACACGATGTACCTGTCCAGTCGCGTTCTAAATACTTAGTTTGGGCCCACAGATTAGTGGGACTGTCAGCTTCGATCAAAGAACTTTTTTATGTAGTAGGTAGTGGTTACTGCAGAGGCTCATAATTGCTCAAAGTGTTGTCAATAAGGGGAGAGAAAGAACATTTTATAAAATGTGACAGTTGAATGCTCAGCCCTAAGTGGCTGAGCCCCTGCTAGGGCTCAGGGAAGTTTTCCCAAAGATTAGGATGAGAATCAGGTGCTTTTTACAGAAAAAATCATCTCTCTGTTAAAACTGCACAATCCCCTTTGTACAAGCTAGAAGGCCAGATCCCAGTTCCACGCCTGGCAGTTCCACGTCTGGCTCTCCCACTCAGTAATGTGCTGAGCTATTTACTGTGGCCTTAGTTTCTCAACTGAACAATGTGAAGAATAATACAGAGATGGTAGACAGATTACACACTCAAAATTTCAACACACAGTAAGTAGTCAAGAGATTTTCACCTTGTTTTTCTCTGGCTGTGTATAGATTGTGTGCAAATGCTGTGCCATTTTATAGAGCGGATCTGATCACCTGCATAGTCCGGCACTATGGGGAGTTCTGGGACCATTCAGCACTGACTGGGAGTGCTAATGGCATCTATTAGAATTTGACTGCAATGGGCCTCACAGGGATCAAAGATGAGTGTGTCTGCCCTTAGAGCGCTCCCATTTTAGTAAAAGAGAGAAGGACAGGACAGAGGTGTGAGGCAGGTCAAGAAGAATGGAGATGCCTTCTGAAAGCCAGACAGTTGTAGAGTTAAGTGTCAGGTGAAGCCTTCAGTAATGGGGGTCTTGCTCAAAAGCCCAGTTGATGGTCTGGCCTCCTAGGAATCTGTGAATTGGGGCTGCAGAGATGGCTCAGTGATTAAGAGCACTGCCTGCTCTTGTAGAGGACCTGGGTTTGGTTCCTGGAATCCATGTGGTGGTTAATGACCAGCTGTAACTCCAGTTCCAGGGGATCTGATGCCTTCTTCTGACCTCCATGGGCATTGCATGACATGGGTGCACTTACATACATATAGGCAAAACACTTATACAAATAAATAAATTTTAAAAAGGAATCTGTGATTGACATGAGTTCTTTTGTAAAAATGGATATAATTCCAAAGAAACAATGTAAATATGTCTAAAACTGATACAACTGAAGGAGCAGAACTAGCCTTGCCTGGGAGATGCTGCTCAAAGGGATCCCAGAGGTGGTGTCATTTCGTTCCCCTCATTACCTGAGTCCTTACAGGGCACCCGTGTCAAGGTGGAGCAAGCATTCTGCTGCAAGGTCTAGATAAGGAGCATGAGACTCAGAAAGCCTCAATCCCAGGCCAGCACGGTGACAGCTGTTGACACTGACATCCTCTCAGGCTTTGAAGACCATTCATTGAGGAGGTCTAGAAACAAAGCTGATGCCAGCATGTTCCTCAGTGTAGGTGTCCATCGGCAGCCCACTGGAGTAGAGCTAGAGAGGGGAGCAGGGGGAGGCCCCACGCCTCTCTAGACATGCAGAGCATCTACATACTCTGCAGACAAAGGCTCAACCCCATTAGGATGAATCTCAGCATTCCAGACCACCCTGGATATGGGGTTCATTCCATTCTACAGGCTCAGTTAGACATGCTGAGCATCTTAAGACACATGGAACCACTGCGCTGCAGAGTCCTGATACTCCTCAAGGGCTCTTGCCTTGTGTGAGAAATAGCTCTGCAGTAAGGAAACAAGATTCATATTTCTTTGCAGAAAAATCAGAACATACTGTCTTTAAGTTCAGTTTTCTTGGATTTTTAAAAAAATTTTAAAATAATTTATAATATATGAAATGCATTTATATACATACTATATACATGTGTACATGTGTACACACACATATGTACATACATACACACCTGAGGGAAAATTGGGCAGTATGCACGGTGCACATGTGTAAAACTGTAAATAAGTAAAAATAAAAAATTGATAGTTTATGAACTTTGCTAAGAACCATTATTAAAAATTTCTCCTATAATATAGCATTTATATTTATAAATTTTAGTATTTACTTCATGAAGACAGAACCAATATAGTACTAGAGAGTCCTGAGTTTTATATTTGTAATGAATTTTAAGAAACGTAAGTTGCGAACATCTAGCAAAGTAGGAAATACTTACAAGTAACTACATA